TTTTTGCTGCGCGGCTGTACTCATTTGAAGTTCGTTCTTTCATTCGTAAGTCTAGCTCGGCGATAGAGCTTTTTGGCAAATCATCTGGAACTGAAAAAAAAATACACACATAGCTGGTTGATTCGCCTTTATGATCGGCAGACTAGCTCCGCCGCCTTTTGTCAACGCAATCTACTTGCTTTGCACTGATTAATTTCAACCAGGATACTGGACCGTACGCCTAGCAAGGAGGCGCCGTCGTGAGCAAGTAGGTGCGCTGAGCGAGTTGGTTCTATTCTGCTTAAACAATCGTGAAGATATCGAGGTACAGGCATTTGAAATGGATCAAGGCCAATCAGCACCATACTTACCTCAAAGATGAACCAAGAGATGCGGTTGAATGGTCGTGTTCTCTTTTTTTCGGATATGTTCTACGTTTAGCCGTTTTCCACTCATTTTCATCCGGTTTTTGCTCAACCTTCACATCACCCATGCTGCCGTTACCTCTACTCACAGTAAGAGGCAATGAGCCTGGGTTCGCTGGAGACCTCAATATTTTAGTATGGAAACTGTAAACGACAACGATATCGACTCCTCTAGAAAGAAGGGGTAAGTCAAATAAGAATAACTCAGTATCTCAGCTACACAACTTCGCATACATCACACTTGCGTTCATAAAATATACGTTTATTAAATCAAAACGAATATACCTAAGTCAGTGCAAATTACGCAGATTCAGTACAATCCACATTGAAAGAAAGAAAACTCGTGATCACAGCTCGCATACCTACTTTCTTTGTATAAAGAATGCACAAAAATAACGCGAAAATAGGCTCATTAGATTATTCTGGTCATGTGCACACTCTGAAACGACCATTCATAATATTAGGGTGTCATTCAGTAAGTCTAGGCGATTAACTACAAGGTAGAAAGGATAGAGAATCAACTTTAATTAATGACAGAATTCCCCTTGAGCTGTGTAACACCCAGCAGAAGACCGTAATAAGACACAACAGATGATATACATTACGAAGTTAACAATGATCCAGTAGACCAGAACGAAACCGGGCAGACATAGCAAGAATGACAGTGTAAACAAAAGAAGCGACTACTGACTTCAAATGAACAAATTCCGAAAGAGACGAAGAGCTGCCATACTGCATCCAGGAACCAGAATTGTTGAACTATCACTTAGTAACAAACGCAGGAAACAAAGAGCCTGAAA